CTCTCTCTCTGCTTGTTCTGCAAGTTCTGACTATGTTCCAGTGCTTACATTCTGTATTTCTGTTGTGTAGGATAGTTGTAGCCTGGGTCCCCTTGCCAAGCCTTTGGGTCCCCTCTACACTGTTGCTGACAGCTTGATTTTATTTCTAAAGTAATTCTAGTTTATATTTTTAAGACTACTAGTACTGTCACCATTTAAGTGATATGTAATGTATAATTATGGGCCTGTCACTACTGTGTTGCCTTAAAAATGTGTAATACTTTATCTGACATTACTTATATACAGGATATTACAGTAATTAAAATTCAGTCAGTTCTATCTATTTGTAAAATGAACCAATTGTCTGCTTAATAAGATATATATATTAAACTCTTACTTGCCTTTCTTTATGTAGTGAGAGGGGCAGAATCCAAAGTTTAGATGGAAGAAATGTAGTGCCACCTGAAAGTGAAAAGAAGAAAAGGAAGAGGATAAAAATAAACTTCAGGTCCTACCTGGAATCAAACCAGGGTTACAGGAAACTTGAGATATCAGAATCCTGTGTGATAACCACTACACTATAGAACCACTGTTACAACATAATTGTAGTAATAAAGATAGATTCTGTATGAATAAATCACAACTTGAGACATATTCTGTGGGGTTATACCTGATAGAAATTTAATCAATTTCCTCAAATACTTCTAAATCTGAGTAGTACACTTATAAAACTTGCTGAACACCACAATGCAAATACAGTAGTCATATGTTTAAACACTTACTCTAATTCAGAATCAACCCGCGTTAGTAACACGACTCCATCACATTACTATTATAGTCTTACTTTGTTAACATTGTAAATTAGCTTTTCTTGCATTGAACCGAGGTGACTACTATACCTCATCTCAATGTTCCTTATACATATGTGAAAAGCAGGTGTACAGCAAAGCGGATAGTATTTACAAGTCATCGTAGGGTATAAAGAGGAGCATGTAGAGAGCAGTGAGAGCATCATCTTCCAGCTAAACACCTAGTGACTAGCAACATATTTCATCTAGAAACAATACAAAGCAACTTAGTTCAAGTAGAAGACTGTATACCAAGATGCGTCTCTCACAATTCGTCTTCCTTGCCATGTCTCTCCTTGTCGTCTCAGCGCGTCCTGTAAGTATTAATCCGGTTGTTCTTGCATTTAATTCTTCGGAAGGAAGCGCTAACCTACGGTTACAACAACCCAGAACCCCCAGTCTGGACATTCCTCGACTTCTGTAGGCTCAAGTGGCGGTTATGGAGGATCTGGTTCACCGTCTGAGTATGGCCCGGGTAGCACAGCTAGCCACAATTCCTCTCCGGGAATGGAATCAGGCTCTGCCTCTGCGCCCAGTGCAACAAGAAGTGCAGGTGGTACAGGCGGGCTCGGCCAACCGTTCCCACACCCCCACCCACCAAAGTGCGGCTGTGAAGAGCATGGCAGCCACGGCCACAGTTCTTCGGCACGTGAAAGTAAATGCGGTACTGCTGAGCCAACAAGCGGAGCTGGTTCTGGCTCTGAGACTGGTAGTGCGGGCGAAACAAAGAGTACAGGCGTAGCAAGTGGGCATGGTTCTGGCTCTCATTCTGCAGGCAGCTCTGGTACACCGACTGAGACGGGAAGTAGCAGCGCTGGAAGTGAAGCTAGCGGTAGCGGTGGTGCAAGTGCCTCGAGCCCTACGTCCTCAGCATCGGGTGGTCAGTCTGGCTCAACCACCGGTAGCAGCGGCCCAGAGAGCTACTGAGAGATGGATGTGGAATTAGTTATCTCCTGATGCATTTATCTGTACATCTAGTAGCGCACGAGTTACCGTGCAACTGTGTACAAAGCACATAGCAATAGTATTGACCTAAGATAGACTCGAACAAGAAACAAGCTTGATAGACTAGACTGAACGACAAACTCGAGAATGTTAATGAGCAAATATGGAAAACAGGACAAGCAGCACTGGGTAGACGGAAGACCGAGAATATGAGACCTTCATCACTTATCAGTAATGAACGTGAGAGTTATTGAATCGAGAACAAAAATAAATAAATAAATAAACGACATACAGTCCAGGGGAGGGACTTACACACAAAATTAAGTCAAAGCGCCGTGCCTCGCTCAAAGCTCGCACGGATCTCCGCCGTGTACTTGTCGTAGTATCTCGCGATCTGTGAAAAGGGGGAAAAAAAGGACGAGATGAGAATTGGCCAAGACCAAATTACACGCGTGGACGAGTGAGAAAGGCGAGATAACATTGCGCTTGCGGTGTATTTGGACGTTGCAAGGTGGACGTGAGATGAAAGATAGAACGGCATTGAAGGCGACTTGATAAAATGCCGGTTTGCAAGAGAAAAAAAGTTGTGTGGGCAGGGAAACGGGGAAAAAAAAATGAAAGAGCGCGAGACAGTGTAAAAAGGATAAAGTACAAATACGCACCTTCTTGTTAAATACGCGATTACGCTCATTGATATACGTAATATCGCCCTCGTCCTCATTAAGCCGTTTCCGAGAGAACTTGTTCCGCTTGTCTTGCCTACAGTCGCACCAACATCGGATACAAGCAAAGCAATACACCAGTCAGCACAAGACGTTCGCACATAGACACACCACTCAAACGAAGGTCGAGGAGAAAGGAGAAGGACGGAGAAGTCAGGGCAAAAGCGACTATGAAGGCCACAGAGCACACCGGGGATGAAAGACAGCGAGAAGAACACGCACTCCATGTTAAGCTTTTCAACAACTTTATCGATCGCTTCTTCGCTCGGCTTGTTGTCCGCATACAACAAAGTATTCGCGTCACGGTACAAGGCTTCGGCGGCCCGCTGCTGTTCATATGACGTGATCTACGTAGTGTGTAAGGTGAATAGTTAGTGGTTGCACTCGTGAATTCAGTTATTTAAAGGGCGGAGGAAATGCAATGACGAATGGAGTGAACAGAACCATGTGGCATGAATGTATGGTGGAACGGGTGGAAGAGAAACGGAAAAAGCGGGAAGGTAGGAATAGAAGAAGCGGAAAAGGAACGCACCGTTCCACCTTGCGGGTCGAATGCCGTCAGGGCATTAGAGGACGACGAAGCACCCGAGCTCGATCCAGGTGCAAGGCCCATGGCAAGTTCTTTTTGCTTGTTGTACGACGCTAGATCCGGTTTTAGATGGACAAGGTCCTTCTTGTACCGCCTCCGGGCCTGCTGCTCTTCGTCTGCCAGGCAATCGACCAGTCTGCGCGTTAGTATTGACTCAAGAACACAAACTTACACAAGCGTTCGTACCGTGAAACTCGAAATCTGCATTCCGCTCCTTTCGTCTTTTCTTCTTCTCCCATTCCTCGTTCTCCTCGATCGTCCACTCCCAGTTTTTCTTGCGGTCTAGGTCCTCACCGCGCTCCTCTGCCTCAGCCTTTAGTCGGAGAGTCTCGGCAAGACGTAGCTGCTTCTCCCGTCGTGCGGTCTCGCGGACAGTTGTTTTCTGTTTAGTCGATTCGTCAAGGAGTGCGGCACGGTTTTGTCTCGTGGAGTCACGCTAATCGGATTTTTGAAACGAGGTCAAGAAAGAGAAGAAGAGACAAGCATGACGCACCATTCGGCTCCGAAGCGCGTCGAGCTTCTTTTTCCTCTCCGCCAGGCTCAGAGCTGATCCCGCTGCGTTCGAATCCGAACCATCGGCCTGCGGGTCGTCAGAATCACTCCCGCTTGCATTTGTGTTGATTCCGTCGTCTGCAGATTGTGCTGTGTCGGTAGTTGATTCGACAAAGTCCGCGGCACTCTCTGCAACGTTGTTAACAGACTGCTTTGCGTGCTCCGCCGCCACCGCCGCTGCCGATTCCATGGCTGCCTAGTATTCCGTGGTTGGGTGTGCGGGTAGCTTGCTTGCCAGACGTTGTCAGTTAGGTTATCTTGGTGTCCGAAGTTCTAAGTCACCAGGATCGTCGATATATAACGCAGCACGGAGGACGAGGAGAAGAAGATGCGGAGGCAAGAGCGTGACGGGCAGAGCAATGATGTCAGTCAGGAAGAGACGGACGTAAAGGCTAAGGGTGACACTGACAATTGGCAGCAGTGACAGATGTCATGTCCAGCACGTGGTCGTATGCGCACACGTGATGTAGCCTGCGTTCTTTCTTGACATGGCCATCCTCCTCGAAGAACAGCAGCGTTCTTCCTTGCCAGGAACAACTTTATCTTGTCTATTCTGCGCGCATCAGGAACAGCACTGCATCCTTCTGCCTCGCTCCTTGTTAATGTTATCACCCATACACTCATTCGCGCGTTCGATTCTGGCGTTCTGTCATCGATGTGCGATATAGAACGAGAGCGTTGCTTGCTTCTCTCCTGCTTATTTTGTAGACCGGCTTCCGACGGGTCATGAGCGTGGATTTGGACTAGCAAACTCTAGCACTAGAGTAGCATTGATTTATTTTTGACCTACCCGTGACTCTGGACTGTGGACATGGCCTGTTACTTGTGTAAGAAGCCACTCCGCGGGGTGAACATGTCTTGTGAACACTGTGAAATGATAGTGAAACGCAGGCGTGGGGATGAGAAATAGAAGCGGTTGTCGAGCATATGGCGTTGATTCTCGGAATCTCACTGCGCTCGTCTTGACAGACCAGAGACTCCCACCCCTTGGAGAAGTGCCCGGAATGGATGAATACACTCGTCGTCTACAGCGTCCGACATTGACTACCGCCAGATCTTTGAATTTGCGTTCCGACATGCTGGCCCCCCGTCCAACTATGGGGTCCAGTCGGATGAGGTGTTCCATCCGTGTCCATTCGAAGCGGCTGCTGTGGCTATATTTGTCGCCCTCCCTGACTCCCTCGCTCTCTGCCCCTCGCATATTCTTAAGTGTTCTCTCTGCTGCATCTTCGTCGCCGGTTGCCGACTGTCTCCTCCCTGCTCCCCACTTCTTCTGCCCCAAGCTCTCTCGCGTGCCTCTTCACATCTCCTCGCTCCTCGTCTTTCTCCACCTCACACTCTCCATATTCGGGTTCCAGTATGGCTACGGCTCTCGAGTTAGCAACAGATCGCAAACATGTCGAGCTCGACGAGAGCGAGAAGAACAGCCATACGCACTCCATTTCTTCTGTCAGTCAAGGTGCGTGTCTAATCCTTCACCTCGCGGACAACCACGTACGCATACGACTGACCGAGTTCTTGTTCAAGCAGGCGGACAAACACCAACTCTGGCAGAATACATGCGACAGGCAGAGATCAGTCGAGCGCGGGAAGCCGGACAGTCACAGTCCGCTCCTCTAGAGTCTGACAAGTGCGTCCTTATCCCCTGCCTACCCGTTCATTCAATGTTCCATGCGCGTGTCTGGCCGCGGTTAGCCATTGTGCATATGATCCCCCCTTGTTTATTTTTAGTCATTGCTATAAGTGGCGTCGCGCTGATATCTATACATTTTCCCTTTTCTGCCTTACCCAACGATTCTGTCGATATTATCTAGCCGTACAACGCCGGAAAAACCAGACATCGAGGACGAACTCATCACTGCAAGACGGGCCTTGCGAAACGCTAGGTGTGTATTTCTTCAACATTCCTCGCTCCATATCGCCTTGTCGGGTGTTACGAACGAAAGACGGAGGCTGATAAGCGGCAAAGTTGGGCAGCTATTTTTTACCTTATCACGACGGACATTCTCGGGCCCTTTAATGCCCCGTTTGCGTTTAGTCAGGTTGGCTATGTCCCAGGAGCGGTGCTTTATGTCGTTAGTGAGTATTCGCTTCACCGTAGTCGAGTTGTAGATATGTTTATCCCACACTCTGGGACGACCTACTCTCGTTTATGTTCCCTATTCCAATGCCCCGAGTATTTCGGAAATATCATTGTTTGCTAACCAAATTAATTTCCAGTGGGAGGTGTCGCATGCTACACCGGCCTGATTCTATGGCGTCTATTCTGCGTGCTAGACTCAGATGTATACCCGATCAAGACGTATGCCGACATCGCGGAACGTCTTATCGGACGATGGTTCAAGCACCTGTGCTCTGCGTTGCAATCACTGCAGTTAATCATTAACGTAAGTCTCGGATTCTTCTCATGTCGCTTCTCTTCTATATATTTCTCTTCAAATTATCGTGTGGGCCTCTGAGAACTCAACCTTGTACAATTTTCGAAAATATAGGTTGGTACGATCTGCCTCGGGAACGCACAGAGCGTAGAGCAAATTGCGAACGATCATCAGTTCTGTTTCTCCGTCGCGATCCTCATCTGGGCGATCGTTGGGATGGTCATTGGACAGATCCGTTCGTTAAAACAATACGGTTGGTTAGCAAATTCGTAAGCATATAACTACACCTTCCCCATCTCCTCGCACTTAATTGATTCACCCGCGAAACCGTAGTGCCGTATGGCTTAACTTGCTCGTCATCTTCATTACGATGGGCGTCGTCGCGCACTCACCCCCCAACTTCAAATCTGCGAAAGCCGCGTTTGGTATCGACCAAGGACCTGTGCAAACGTCTGCAATCGTCAGCTTGCCGTTGTTCTCGAAGGTGAATGGCATCATGCAAATGGTGTTTGCGTATGGTGGAGCAATGATTTTCCCCGAGTTTATGGCGGAGATGAGGAGGCCAATGGACTTCTGGAAGGCTATGGTGCGTCTATCTCCCATCTTATTTGGATGAGGGTGTTTTATATAAGATCTCCTTATCCATAAAATAGTGCTGTGCGCAATTACTCATCGCCACCGTCTACATGCTCTTCGGTGTCTTCGTCTACGCTTTCCAAGGGCAATTCACTCTCCCACTTGCTTTCCAAGGGCTGAGCAAGTTTGCGTGGCAGACGGTAGGAAACGTTATTGCCCTTATCACAGGTATCATTGCTGCGGGGCTATACGGGAATATTGGAATCAGTTGCGTATTTCTCATGTTTCTTTGAAGCAGATAGACCATCTAATTGGTTTGTGATATCTTTCTTTGCAGAGGTCGCATATTACCATATTGTTGAACAATGGTTCAACGGTCCGCCTCTTATAAGTAGGAAAGGGCGTGTCGTTTGGACCTGTATGTCTCTCTTCCTATTGTCCTGCACCCTTCCCCTTTATTCCTCTCCCAAATGTCCCTAAATTTCTTCTCTAGTCATGGTAATCCTCTACTGGTCACTCGCATTCATCGTTGGTTCTGCTATCCCGCAAGTTCAAACCATTTCGGGTCTCGTTGCAGCAGTGTGCATCATGCAATTCACATATACCTTCCCGCCGTTGCTGCTTGCGGCATTTGAGATGCAGGTGGATGCAGCGAGGAATGATCCAGGTGATACGTGGAAGGAGAAATCAAGGTGGATGCGGGCTATTTTCTCTTCTGGTCCTTCTGTTTCGACAATGACGACTACGACGAATTCCGGTCTTTTGACGAAGAATGGGAATGGAATTACGAATGGAACTGCTGACACAACGGCAACCGGGGCCCCGATAGAATCTAAACGAACCAAATGGCAATTGATATGGGCCAAAGTCCGCCACAATTTTAACAATCTCTCTACTTCGAAATTCTTTCGCCACTCCCGAGTGTTCTACAAGCTCTTCAACCTCGTCCTCTTCCTCGGCTCACTCACTATGGCGTGTTTGGGAATGTACGGTTCTGGAAAGTCTATCCAAGCAACTTTTGCGTCTGGAGGAGCAGCTACGAGCTTTGGCTGCGGTGCACCCGTGTAATTACAGTAATGTAAAACTAGTAATAGTTTATGTCTTGTAGCGGGCATATTGTGGGTTGAAGAGGGATGACATTACACGATAGGCACAATGCAATGTTTAATTATGTGATTTCCCTAATATTAAGCCTTTCTAAGCAGCCTTATGTATGAAGTTTCTTGGCATGAATGCATTTATGAACCTACTGGACTGTGAGAGGAATAATACATGCAAGGCTATGTTATATTCTTGAGAGAAGATGTATAGGACAGGGCTGTGTCAGTGTGATAAAACAAGAGTTTGTTAAAATAATTTTTTTATTTAATTAGTAAATATATTAAGTGAAACACAAGTACTAGATTGAATAGAGAAGTGTTGCATTTTTCATAAGCTGTTTAAAAACTCTGTTATAATATGTGAAGCCGAATATCATGGATGAACTAGATTTTGACGAATTGAATGAGCGTGAGCGTGTTGAAAATTTAGTAAATCCAGTCTTTTGTCAAAAGCGGAGATTGATCGACGTCCTTTTCTTATGTAATGCCAAACGGAAGCTTTGGTGATGGTGACATCAGGCAACGGCAAGTTCCGCAATATCGCGTCGTGAACTCATTACATTACACAGTTAGTACCACTCGTTCTCTCTCACTCTCCCTCTCACCTCCCCCTTCGTCTCATCTCTCGTATCTCACCTCTCTTTCAGCATAGACTCAGTCGGCTTTCTATTTAGCCAGACGTTTGGATCTGTGGTCCTCAGCAAACTAGTGTTGCTCCCACTCGCAGGTGCAGAGCGCCTGTAGTAGAAGCAAACCCCAACGTACCTGGATTGGACCTGTAACAGAACTGCATATACCTGACGACGCGGTTCGAGCAGAGACATCGAGGACAACCCAATGTTCCTGAGTTTGCATACTGCATCTGTGTTCGCATTCCTGCTCCAATGCTCAGTCACCATACCACTCGCCCGAGCTAGCGTATTCGTGCGTTGTTTTCTCCTGGATGCACTGTAAAGATTTGACTGACTATGTATAGATAACCCACCCCTACAAGGGAATTTCGTGTAGTGGTGGGAGTCCCTGCTCAGTTACGTGGGCTGATGATGGACGGACACCGTTGCTCGCTGCTATCGGGCGTTCAGATTTTGCTCTTTTCCAAGGAACAAATGTGGGTCTCTGCGCTCAAGGCCATCTAGTTTGCTGTACTCAATTGCATCTGCAGACACTTGTGCAACAGCTTGCCGTCGGCCTTGATGTATCTCAGACTCATGAATTAACGTTCACAGTACGTGTCTCCGTCCACATTGTTTCCCGGAGCGCGCCTTTTTACCCATACATACTTCCTCCTTTCAACCGCGTCACCTGCTGTCTCTCAATTATCCATGTTGCACTTCTGCCAATTTTATTATGTTCAGATATCTGACTGTTTTCTTATAGCCTAATCCAAGTGCAGGTCCAAACTCCGATTCATAGTGCGTGGAACCGTTAATTCTTCCTTAATCAAATCATTGATTGTATCGTTACCATGGAAGTTGGATAAGGATCACTTCGAGTTCTGCGCGGGATCCAAATGATACTTCACAGGCATACAGTTCCTTCTCGGGTTTCTTCACGTAAGGTCTGGTGTGAATTTGCATATATGACACTCATAAATTTGGACCAAATCTTAGGCTAGAGAATATGTCAGGGACAGCGGGTGATCCAGTCGCGTCATTGACATCTCCTCTGGTTTCTTCAGTCTCTCCAGCATCGAGTGTTGGTTCTGGGATACCAAGTTCAACTACGAATGGCGTAGTGGGCACAACAGTTCTTTCGGGTGTTGTTCCCTCGGGGCCCCTATCTACGCTCTCCAGTGCTCTCTCTGCACTTTCCGCAATTAGCTCTGCAGCAAGTGGCAGCTCCGGACAGCTGCTCACAACCTCGACGATCAGTCCTTCTTCAACGATTCAAGGAAGCGGATCGGGGACAACTAATACCGCAGTGGGAGCTTCTAGCAACTCTAGTGGCAGTGCAGCTGTTCCTCATCTCATCTACGGTACTATATTAGTCACTGCATCAACTCTCATAGTACTTGCAATGTGGTGTAGCACAGGTTTATTATAGCCTTATTACGGGATGCAAGTTGTTGAGTTCACACGTTGCATTGGACGTTTTGCTATTTATTTTGGTCTCCTGATTCCAACACGGGGCTGCAGAATACCAGTATCATGTCGTAGATGAAGTATCCATACCCACGGACTCTTATTCTTCCCGTTGCAGTTCACTATCTTTATCTTTTCAGTTCGTCCTTCTCCGATTCTTAACCTCTGATTCTTGTTTTCCATGTTTATTTCACCAGCATTTTATGTTTCACTATTCAACAGACATTTGCCATTGATTAAACAGCAGTCTTGATGCAAAATGTATTAGGAAATAGTATACAATGCACATGCCATGGACACAGTAAAGAATACGTAGGGAAACGTGGTGGTGCTTGGTACAGAGTGATCTTAATAAAGACCGTGTGCATCATTGTCATTGTTCCGTCCCGCCTTATCATAGCTAACAGGTTAGTCGTCAATCATTCTCGTTCTACAACAAATCGTTCGTCACTGAAGTGGCTCGCGGGAACTTGAAAGGCGATTAAGGTGGATGTACACGTCGGTACCGTACCCTTCCATACTGATCAACTTGAGGTCTCCGCCGAAATAACGGGCATACTGCACAATAGGGTAGAGGTCCAATGTTAGCATTGCAATTGTATTTTTGTAGATCATTTCATCAAAGATCAAGACTTGACGGTGTCGGTGCTGATGACGGTGAATGTAAAGGAGGTGATAAGTGAGAAGAAGCAGGCGAAGGTGACACTGTGGGAGGACTTGGCATGGCAAGGGGCCTTGGAGGGAAAGAAAGACAGGAATATGAATGTTGAGGAAGACCTACCAATCGGGAAAGCGGTAACCCATATCCAAAACCCGCCATCGGTGCCTTGAAATCCGAGTCTGTGAAGTCATCCTGAATGCCCTGGTTCGCCATCGTCGTATACATATATGTCCATACGAGTCCGACACCACTACGTGGGATCCCGCCACCTTCGTCACTAATTTTGATTGTGATGTCTTCCTTGCCCTCGCTCACGACGACCTTGATCGGTGGGAGTTTGTCGGGAGCGGCCACAGCCTCCGCAACACCAAACCGCTCAACGACCGCACGGAGTGAGTTCTTGAGAATCTCGAAACAAATGTGTGAAAGGTGTCCGGGAACATATGCAAAATGTAGGTCAGGCTTGCATATGAGCTGTACGGGAGGGCCAGTGAACATCCCGTAGTGCTCCTCACATACGAATCGCGCATTCTCAATTGCCTCGTGTACAATATCGCGTACGTTTGCTCGCGTGCAGATGATACCGACGTAATCTGGGTGTGGTTCAAGCGTATTCAGTGCGATATGTTGCCCGATGAGGAAACGTATCCCGATCCGCGACATGTAGAACCGGTCAAGCCATTGTTGCACATCTAAGCCAATATGCGTCTTTGCTGGATCTCCTGTTAGACGCTTCCACTCAAGTACACCCTGTGCAACGGTTGTCACTGTCGGGTCGTGCCGTCGCTTTATTTTTTGAAGGAGATCGGTGACGGAAGCGTTATATGAGTGCATTTCTGGAGGCCATTTTGTATCCGGAGAACCAGCCGCGGCGTAATAACGGCGTTCAATCGGAATTCGTAACTTCGGCGTTCCTATGAACTCTTTTGCTTGTCCATTAGTAGACCCGTTCGAAAGTCCTAGAGAATGAGTAGGTTCAGAAAATGAATCCAGGCCAGCCGCCGTGTTAAGTAAGCTCGGATTGGGTATGGATTCCGGTAGTTTTAAGGACTTTGATTGACCGCGATGGGAGTACAGCGCCTTCTTAACCTCCGGTGAGAGATGAAACTTCGGGAAGTTGATAAGCTCCTGCAATACATAAGTTGATGAGACTTAATCTTAACACCGCATAGAAGCAATTAACGTTCAAAGAGTGGCAACAATGTGTTTACCACGCTCACAGAATGTCGTGTGTTTTGAGTGAAAATATCCGACGGGAAAGGATGAGCAATGTGGGATACCTACCTCGAAGGACTGACAATACCAGTTCTTGACTTTCTTTATGGAAGGCATATCTGAGAGGTTATGAGGAAGCTCGTCAAGCTCTTTTGCCCGATGTGCTAGACGAATCGGCAGCTCCTCTGTAGCAGAGAAGAGCACCAGTTATTTGATGGGCTCAATAGATGATGTCGCGTGATGAAATGCACGTACCAAGTAGAAACTGAGACCCCTTGAACAGCGTGCCCTGCGACGGATTTTGTCCAAACAGCACCATCTGCTGCAACGACACTACAGAACTGGTGAGTATGCTCTTGTATAGGGGCGAACACGGCCTGTGACGCACCGCCCGTCTGCGGGAAGCTTGCGAAATGGTGTATGCGATCCCATAACGCGGCACTTATCCGGAATCCGGACATGGTACACTCAGATCTAACCTTGGGCTCTAGTCTGCTATTGAACGCGATACGTTGGCTCTAGGATGGACTTTCGACTTGAAAGGGGTGTTGTGGAGTGTCGGATGGGGGAGAAGGGGGAGAAAGGAGGAAGAAAGGAGCGAAATAAAGGGAAAACGAGGAAAGTAGAGGCAGACTGTCTGACCGGGATGGAGCCCCGCTCTTTGACGAAATCACGCGCCTCCTCCTCCTTTGCTCGTCACGTGGTCACCCACTGTTCCCTTTGCCTCCCTGAGCCCTCGTCGTCACTACTGCACGTTATTTTGCGTCTGTTTCCAGAATCCACGTCTCTTTCTTGCGCTGCTGTCGCGTGTTCGGAATCTCTGCTACTCAACTGCTCAATCGCGCAGCAGAGACTCTGGCTGCTATGCCCACTTTTCCACTGCACTTGCTTTTCCTGTCCTGCAACACTGCGTTCCGAGCAATTCTAACAGTCTTGTTTCTGCCGTCCCGCTCCGTTGAATTCCGCCGGCAAATTCCATAAACCTAATGATTATTCCAGGAACAGTGGGTGTCAACAGCTGAGAGTCGAGACCGGATGTTAAGATTATCGCAGCTCGTTCGTGTGTCCCGACTCTACCCGCATCTCACGGGACCTCCGTCTGCCTCCGCACTCCTTCCCCTCAGAGAAAATCCTGAGTGGGCATTCCTTCCACAGCCAAAACAGTCAGCATAAGTCAAGTATAAAAGGTGCCAAAAGGGAACTGCTTCACACTATGACTTACATTGAAATGATAAACACATCAGAGCATGCACTGGACTAGAATACGATTCGCAGCAGTCTCTAGCGATAGAATATCTGGACTTAGTATTGTAAATGGAATAAACGTGTTCCAAATTCCCAGATTATCAAGTTCATCTGAGCAAAGTAATTACCTCCAACGTTACATTTGGGATGACACCATCCAGGTAGTAATTGTTACTCATAGTATTAGGCTTAAACTGCAGCCATGTTCAATCAATGAATTTTGTCCATGCAACTAATTTATGTAACCATCCAAGGGAATCGTCCGAAGGCGTATAAGCATCATTTCTGACTTAGCAGACGTGTATCTCATTCGACACATGGACTATTGAGTTACTTAGCCATTCAAGATTAGATAGTATCTGTACTGATATTCAGGATAAGATCTAGCCCAAGTGAACTATATCATACAGACTTAACGATGTAAACCCAACCAAAAGCAGTCATGAATCGATCCAATCCCGGCAGAAGGACGAAGGACGAAATTTACGGATAGTAGAAGTAGAAAAATGGTATACTTAGATAGCAAGACCAAGTAGAGCCGCGAAGCACCCAAAAGCACCGAGTAAACCGCCTGCAACACCAGCACGACTTGCACTGCTTGCTGCAGATCCGGAGCTGCCAGACGCGGAGGGGGAAGCGGTATTCGAACCAGTGGCCTTGCTTGCTGAGCTTGCAACTTTCGTAGTAAGAGACGACGATGAATCGGTGGCCGATGCAGGAGCGTTTGAAGACGGGCCTGCGCCATCGGCGGCATTAATCTGAGCTTGGACAGTTGAGTTAAATTGACCTGACATGTTCTTTAGAGTGAACTTGGCAGAGAAAGCCTGGAAAGGAGTAGATCCATTCATTCCATTGATTGAATCGAAACGTATGAAACTGAAGCAGGAAATGAATTTCTCGATCCAAGAAAAGTTAAACAAGTTCGAGTACATACTAGATATCGTCGTCAGGGCCGGCGTTAGGGTCAACGGTGAAGGCAATGGACGAGGTTGTCGCGACGTTAACAGAGTCTGAAATGCTCTGGACCATGGTCTATTTTATCCCATCAAGGAAATTAATCTCTCCGAAGTGACCGGAAGTTGAGAAATCTCACCTGCTGGTTCACATTTCCGACATAAATACCGACTTTGGCGTCACCGAAATCATTAAGCGAAGGAGTGTTGTTGTCATCTTGCCAGTTAACGTTACAGATCGAGCCGCCACTGCAAACGGAACCAGCGACGGGAGATGTCAACTGCGAAATATTGGTATCAAAGTCAATTCCAAAACTCCAAAAGCCACACCTCCTCGTAGAAGAGGAGGCAAAGGGCGTAAATAACGCACATAGGGTTTCGCCATAGCAGAGGCCGCAAGGGATACGAGAACAGCGACAGAGGCGAACATTGTTGAATATCCGAACGAAACGAGTGTGCTGCAAAAGGAACGACGGGGGCGTGCAGAGAGAGAGTCTGTCAGGAGACGAGAACGAAGAACGAGGAGGACGCGAGAGACGACGATGGGAGAAATAAAGTGAAAATGGCGAGGACGCACGCGGAAACGGAGTTATATGGCGGAGTCTCAATTCAGGCACAAATCAGTTTTCATTTTCATTTTATCCCTTTTTTGTTACAGTAATTATTCTCGAGTAAAATGACTACACTACGAATACTCGGCAGACTCGTGCATCGTCTTCTGCACATGGTCCGCTTTCCTTCCAGTATGCTTGATAAAGCCCAGCAAGTCGAGCTCCTGCACCGAGCGTATGAAGCGTGCCTGGACTTCTGCCTCCCATCGCTCATGTTCTGCAAGACGCAGCTCATTTTCGCTGTCATCACTCGTTTCGCTATAGCTAGTGCCACCTTCGTTATCTGCAACTGTCCGTTCTCTACCGCCTCTCGTTCCTCGCCCTCGCCCTCGCCCTCGCCCTCGACCAGACCCACCTCTGCCTCTAGGCCTTCCCCTCCCTCGTACCCTGGCCTTCGTCGGACTTGAGGGCGCAGATCCAGGGTCTCTCGATGCATCACCGATCTTCCTCACAGCTTTATGTCGATCTTTCTTTCCGCGCCAACGAACCTCCGTCGTCCGACGCCGTGCCTCAAGGTATTCTTTGAACGACATATACCAGTCATACACATTCGTCATGCGTCCACTTTCCAAGTAACCCTTAAATAGCAGTACCGTGTCCGGATTTAAATCCTCTGCATCAGCGCCATCAATTCCGTTGCCAGCACGGCGCTTCCTATTCTCCTGCATCAGGGCTGGAAATGAGGCTTCGTTTGTCCTAGGATCGGCCTCGTGATTAAGATACCGTTGAGGATGCACGAGTGCATTGATAATTGCCGACCGGGGAGCAGGGTCGTACATCTATCGTGCGACAGGTTGAATGGAGTGCCTCCCTACAAGAAACAAGAACACACACCTCCATGATTCCTGTGGGATTCCCTGTATACCAGATATGCCAAAGTTCTGTTTCGGTGAAATCATGCATATTTTCGCTATGGATAAGATGTGGTGAAAACTTTTTGAAACATGGGCGAAATAAAACCAACCTGAGATAGTCGACAAACCATTTGCTTACTTCACACGCAATATCGGCCGTGATGTCAACAGCCGCGTCTTCGTCAGTAGATAACCCATTGAGTCTTGAGATCCACCTGGCGAATAGCCCGATGGAGTCCTCCTCAACTGTACGAACCTCGGTTGGTAGATTCCGGATGATTATGTCCAAGGAAGTTAGAAGTGCACAAAGCGTATTCCCGTCGAGCCTCCTGGACAAAATACAATGACTCAGATTGATTCTCCGAGTAATGATAATAAACGGACCGAATCCCACTTGCCAGTACTTCTCCTTCTCTACCTGCTAGTGTTCCGCGTAAGCACGCGGACATCATGTCAACCTCCGTCCCTACGGCTCGTCCCATCTTAGCACCTCTTCCATCTTCTTTTCGAATTTCGCCGGTCTTCAGTAACCATTTTCTTATTTCGGAGGCAAAGCGGAACACCATTTGGATGCGTCGTAGACGATGCTGATGCCTTCGTCGCAGCTTGTAGATACGCCTCAGGATATGTAAAGGAGACATCAAGGACGAACTCGCGTCCAAAACGGCGCCCTGCACGGCCCTTTCTTTCCATTTGCTAGAGCTTTTTCGTGGACTGTGTTCAGAAGTCTTTTGGGATCCGGCGCCGTTAGTCATCGGTCCTTCGCCTGTCCCAAAACGTAATTTGTCCGATTGCTGCAGCCTTGCAAAGAGTCTAAGAAAGAAATCCCGAGCGGCAGACATAGATAACTTTTCGGCAGCATCTTCAATAGATGATGCCCCTAAAAGTTCGTCCAATGCCAGGACGGATAATGGTTCACCAAAATGACGCAAATAAATTAGCTGTGTGGAGTGTGTAGAGTCATTAACATGAAGAACCTGGACGTCCAGACATGCGAAACTAAGCATACCTTCAAAAGTGACATAACGAATTCTATTGATTGGACGTTCTGTCTGAATTGATCGACAATGAACGTCAGTATTGTGGGACTTAGCATTATTGTTGATTGAAACGAAGGGTCGAAGAAAACCTGCGTCCGAGTTCACGTCAATCGTAAGTTGTTCTTAGGCTGCAATAAAGAGAAAACGCACATCAATGAGAAGCCGCTCAAGTAGGTTCATCCCGCTAGCCACTTCAACCTGTGTGACGTTGAGTAAAGCTAGGGTTCTGCGGGGGAATGTAGCATGTAAATAAGAGGGAGTCGGAGCGGTGGTGAGGCCTAGGACGAATACAAGTGGTAGGCGAGGAGCATGCAAACTTTCAAGCAAGTCAATAGCTGGCGTAGAATCACTTACAATCCAGAGAAATCACTTACCTGCAGATATAAAAGAGGTCCTGCATGATTTGTGGCTCGATATTTTCAAGTCCCTTAACAAGCACAACGAGTTTTGGTAAAGCAGCGTTGCCTTGCAACAAGTAAAAGCTTAGCAGAGCAAAATGCGCATAAGAGCTTCAGCAATACCTCGGGACGCCCTTAACCTATCGTACCAGCACTCAAGGCGATAGATGTCATAGGGTGCAAGAGTTCGATAGGGACCTTGCACATTCTCATTCTCTCCGTCATCTTCATTTTCCCTGTCTGAAACTACAAACCCACTGATGATAGTCTTCATCGTCGTAGTCATATTTTGGCAGTCTGCTGGAGTTAGCCTAGATACAAGCACCGGTGTCCTCGCTGCTTCTTCCTCTTCGCCATCTCCAATACCATCTCCAGTTCCGAACTTGACCAGCAGGCTTTGCACATCTTCAAGTATGGTGGACGTCGCACTGCTATCCGTACCTATGGAGAAAAAATGAGTACAGTGAGAACAGCGTCATTTGGATGGACAAGTGACAAACGTCACCCGAAACGGCTATCACGCGCAGTTCAGTGTACGGCATAATCCTATCTTCCCCGCATGGACAGTACGCATCCCTCACGACCTCAAATATGTGGGCTGTTGTCGGAGCATATATCCGTCTGAACACTTCCTATGATATAATATTGCTTAACGAGACTTTGGTTGCAGCCGCAACTGGACGAACCTGAACTCGTTCCTCACAGCGGCCGAAAGCGTCTGTGAATGCCTTCATGCGCAGACGCTGACCATCTGGGAGATCACTGTTCGTCGGATCTGGGTTAGTGTACATTATACAAGGGAAGAAACCCGCGGTAGTAATCTCCTCCTCGTCTTCTTCAAAGTCATCCTCATCGTCTAAAGCTAGGTAAGCGCACTGTTAGCATGACCTCAGCACGGGCCGTACCAGAGCCACCAAATGGAATCGATATCACTGTCTAATTCGGTTACGTGTCAGAGGAGAGAGCATCCGGCCAAGCTGAGAGGGTTACGCACCTCCGAAATAGAATCAAGCCTTTGTTCGTTATTTCGCATTTTATAGGGTGAGTTGATTGCAGGTCAGCGAGAGGCAATTATGAGCGTTCAAAGAGATGTTTTCCTATCAGAGAAGAGCTGATGCTAATGCGGGATACCCGGACAGCAAAGTCATGCATAGGCGATTGTGGGAGGTGGTAGTGCTTCGATGTCGATCCCACAATCCGCACGCATTGCGAATACAACATTGTCCTGCCTGCATTTCCTCTTCAAGGACCAAATGTTCCATGTTTAGTACAGATTAGTGCTCCGCACCGTAGCGTAATTTACGGATACGCCTGCAGCGTATACGCTTACGCACCGTATCGTAAGAGAAAATTTTAGCTGAAAATACGGGCGTATATTTACGCGCGTATGCGTATACCATGAGTAAAAAATTTCCGTATACGCCGTATACGAGTATACGGTATTACTAAGCATATTCTCTAATTAAATACTAAGTTTGAGTTTCTAAACCTCATTTACTTTACTTATTTATATACCAAATCATTTTAATACTATATAACAACCTTGTTTAACTTAAAAAGTACTAGTATGAGTACTACAGTTAGTATGGTTACTACGGTACATCACATGAAGGTTTAGAGCTGTCACGTGATATTAACTCACAACAGTGACAACACTCAACTGTCTTATTTCTGTGTGTAAACAGTACTACAATACATTTTCTTAGCTCAGTAATATCAAGCATTTGTTTTGAAAGATGATAGTGTACTTTTATGAGCTATTTTAATGTAAAGTATCTTGTTATATTTGGCACAGCGTATACGGAAGTAGCGTATCGTATATGGGTCCTGCTGACCCAGTTTACGCCCGTAATTATACGCGCGTATGCGTATACGTGGGAAATTTTACGCGCGTAAGCGTATACGCTACGCGCGGAGCACTAGTACAGATTCTGGAAGTCACAAATTTAAAGTTATTGCATGACACACATCACGTGCCGGTTACACGACGCGTCTCTAGATCTGGTCTCCAGCCAGCCATGGTCACATACGAAGTGCTTCGATATGTCGATCTGCATCATTCTAATCATGAGCTTTCCAAGGATTAGGGATCCTAAACATCCATGATCTATCAGGAGTATTATTTGTAGGAGTAGTAGTTTGATTATTTCTATTGAAAGGGTAAAAACTAGTTAACCAATTATACCAAGAGTTATTATTAGGAGTTGGAGCAGGCACTTGATTAGCCTCTTGATTATCACCCTATAATTTTCTAGTTAACCAATTAAATATATATCTAGGGAAATTTCTTCTCATATTATTAATTTCATTTAAGGTACAAACAACTGATTGAAAACTTTCAAAGATTGTTCTAATACTTTCAAAGCAATAATAACTAACAGTTATTGTACCAGTAATACCTATTGCATAATATTTATTCCCCTTTCATATGTCTGTAACTTTTCATATGATAGTTATTTTTCATATTTAAACTTTCCCCTGTATTGTTTACACCTCAGACAATTGTAACTTGCATCTGAGGTATGTACTGTATTTATTATTGTCTCTGTACTACTATATTTACTATTATTATTATTGTAACTATTATAATAGGTATACTAATAAATTATAGATGATTGTAACTTGTGTCTGAGCTATTACAATAGACAATACAATACGGATCAATTCTAAAAGAGAAGGTGCCGTCTTTTAAGCAAGACGCAGGCAGTTCGCAACGAAATTGTTGATTTACCAGGACGTGTTCAGCATGACATAGTAACTACAATCTCGACAAACTCATTTCGACATTTTTGACAAATGTAAACAAAGATTCATAGTTCCCACAATTATTTGGAACGCTTCACTCTTCAAATGTAGCGGTTTCGCTTATGACAGATTTTATCTTCTCGGATCTTGGCTCTAGGACGTACTTGAATGGTTTGGGGTGCCTACTCGGATGACTTAGACTTTATTTACACGTGTCTGGAAGATAGAAACGACAGACCTAAGAAAATTAGGCGTGTATTCGGCTTTGGGAGTGACTGAGTTCCCATTCTCATCAAGGGCCTTCGTAATGTTGAATGCCGCAAGGATCGATGCACCTCCTATGAAGACCTGCAGAACGCTAGTAAGTCACTCGATTGAATATCGCACTCTCGGTTCGTACAGAATTTTCTGCAAAATGACGCCCAGGACAGATTCTGTTCGAAGAACTTGAGTAAATATTACAAAGGGGCAGTGTGTATAGCCTACCGCCTCCCGAATCCGAAGTAAGTTTTAAGTACATCCCTCGGGGACTCTTTGCTGCTTGTAGGTAGCCAGCGATCGGGTATGAACTTATCTGGTTCAGGATATTCCTTCGGGTCTCTCTGCATTGCCCTACATGGATGCTTCAGCCAGAAGCCTTGCGTCATGACGTATACCGTGGAACTGACCAGACGTTTGCGTATATTGTTGCACCTGCAGGGATTAGGTAGCCATTGTACTCGTCATCCTCACTAACAGTATGGGCCACAGCTACGTTCATGCTTTTAGTGCAAAGTTAGACGGATAACGTGAGTAGACTAACCGAGGGGTGCAGCAGCTTGCCACCTATGGACACAATTAAATCAATAAAAGAACCTAACGTTTCCGCTTACCTTAGTGATTCTTTGATGACTGCATTGAAATAAGGTAGGTTCGGACGATCGTTGAAATTAGGAAGAATATTCTTCCCCAACACAGAGTCAAGTTCTTCTTGTGCTCGTTTCTGGACGTCTGGATGCAATAGCATTGCAAGGACAAATGAGTGCAGGGCGGCAACCGACTGCAATTCAAACTTCCAAATCTAGTCAACATTAGGCACAATAAAGTGTGCAGCTTACAGTATCTGCTCCAGCTATAATCCCAAATCATTACAATAGGCGTTGTACCTGTACGGTGGCAGTAGTCTAACAATACTTACCTGCGTACAAAATACCTGTCACCTTTGCAATCATGGCCTCGTCGCCTATGACCTTGTCACTTGCTGAATACGCTTCAAACAGCTTTTCCAGTATCGAAGGAGTGACCGTGCCCTCCGACTTACATCAAGTGACATGCATATTGATCTTATTGTCAAATCAACTCGTTCAGCATTACCCGTGAAGGACTCACGACTTTTGCCATTCCCAACTTGTAGGGTTCGTGATACAAAGCCGTAGACGCTTTCCGACCACGTTCAATGGTTTTCTTGAATCCAGCACCAGGAAACCACGACGGTAGGTGCCGCAATGCAGGGATGGCATTCACAAGGTAAAAATCTTGCGCTTCGATTGCAGCTGTTACACCTTCCTCTGCAATGACTATGTACGGATCATCCTTTTCTTGAGCTGCTCGAATCGTTTGTAAATTAAGAAATGCAATAAGTCCGTCTCCAAACCTTTATAACCATAGGTGGCCATTAAAATTGTTTCTCCCGCGGACCTGAAACAAAATAAACGATAATCTTATAAGACGCCAAAGGGGAACGTACTGCCGAAGAATTTCAGGAAGTTTATCCGGGCTTGTTAGCAGTCTTCTGAGCATCCGACTTGTCGCTTGCGTCTGCAGTTCAGTATACTCGCACATGATGACCGGCTGAAGAAAGCGATGTAACAGCTGCCTTGCTCTTCTCAGCTCGTCCCCATATGGCATAAGGGCAACAAACCATCCCCAGCCTTGACTGTGAGGAATGGTTCTGAATTTTCAATACGTAACAAATGATGATGATGAAAGGGACAAACAGATCTATCATAACGTTTCGAGGGCGCGAAGAATAAGTACTGCCTCGCTTGTCAAATAAATCGACTGCTGCCTGGTAAGAGTTCACGAAGATGTAGGTTTCCCCGAAAGATTTAACTTGAACCATGGGACCTGGGACATGGAGTGTCAGGAGAAGCGCTTAGCACAATGGATTGTCGGTATGGTATACCAAATTTCTCCCCCCACTTTCTTGCAGTTTCCCATAGCTCTCCCTCCTGCATGTCGAACACGTTGCCAAGCAGGGGCAGCCCTTTCGGCCCTGGAAGCAGTGGTAAATGCTTTCTCTGTCTGTGCCATACCTGCAGTTGGTGTATGCATGCAACGGCACAGACAATGGTGCAAAAATCGAGGAAGTGGTAGAGCATTATTGTGGTGAAGAGGTACTTGGCACAGATTACTGTCTCGCTTTTATCCTATCTTGAACTGAATAAAGAATCATAGTATGGGAGCTGAGATATCCTCTACATGGCAGTCTATACCCTGGATCCGACTGATTAGAACCCAATTGGATACTATTTGCATACATATCTCTATAGAGAAATCAGCTATCAAGAGCATCCTTGTTAGCACGTGCACACATAAAGTTCATTGAAAAACTTCCATTGTGTTCATTGATAATGTCCCAAATTAACCCATTGGCTCATTTGTAGAGAATCCCTACACGGTACATAAGTTTCATAATGCTTGTGAGAGAGTGCAATCAGGATGAAGAAGGTAGTCAGCCCAGATGAGTAGTACTCCAGAATCAAGTTGTGCCTTTCTCATGCACAGTTATTCAAATAAGAAGATGCAAAAAATGGCAAGTTCCAAAAGCAATTGTGCAGATCAAGAATGTCAACTACCTGAGAGTTGTGAATAACGTATAGAGCTTGTGACAGACTAGGTTATAGGTACCAAAATATTTTCGGCACTCTCCTCAAAAAAGTGATCTACATTGACTTATTAGGGGGCAAGATATATAAAATTAGTATCAATTTAATCTTTGTAAAATAAAGACTGGCTTAATAACTTAATACAGTTGGTTAACTTTTAAAAATATTATATTAAATGGAAGCTATTAATTCATTTAGTTTAGAAAGTAGAGTAGTTCTACAAAGTATCTAGCCTCTTGATTTATAGTGAGTAATAATACTACTAGTAACTGTTTATTTTGAGTAAAAATAAATGTAGTAACGCACATATAGTATACACAGCGGCAAAGGTCAATACTGTCTGTAAAACTGTTAAGACGAGACTACACGAGAGTATGTCTCAGATGATATAAACTACATTACAAGCAATGACGAACGATGATGGAATACCTTCCATCATACATTCTACATCTGAGACATACCTACATAGTATATATAGACTAACTAATCAACGGACGATGAAGCAAGCCGCGAGAGAGCAAGCCGAGTCCACTATCCCCCCTCTTTGTGTGATCTCTCTAAGCCTCTCACATAACCTCCCTTCCCCTTTCTTAACAAAAACTTTACAAAGCAGAGCAGCTCATGAATGAATGACAAGATAGCAGAACAACTTCAACGAGGCGGACAAGTGCAAGATTCAGTTCAGCATCTTGCTTCCACGCGACGAGGATCCTTGATTTGCAAGCGCTGCTCCCTACGTCACCCACTTGTGGTGGAACACGATACAACTGGTCCAACTACAATTGTGTAATTGACACCACAATTATAATGTCCGGGTAGAGTCGGAACATAACTAACTAATTACCGCGGCTCATTTGCAGTGCAATTTTCACCTTGAGCCAAAGAGGGAACATCGAACACCAGCTGTGCTAATAATGAGCCAGGGGATACAGTGTCGATGGTTGATATTCGGTGCTATGACATCGGATCGACTAGAGACTGATCGGATTATACGGGGACCACTGAACGCATACGACATATGCATGGCCCGTCGTTATCTCTGCTATGAATAGGTTCGTTGGAGCGCGTCAACGTCATAGACTGTTCATCTGCGCGGAACTGTGAGGCCCAGGGACTCCGCCTCGCCGTCGGGAGAAACGGACGAATGCTCAATTTCCTGTTCGTTGTGCAGCTGTGATCTTTGGCAGAAATATTCATTTTTCCATCCGTTTTTCCGCTGGTCATTGTGGTGCATTGGGACAGTATAAAACCAGAGCCAGGCTGCACTTCAACAACAGACAGTGAAAAGCAACTCAAACGCATTTCGAACACTTTCGACCGCCACACAATTTCTGCTTTTACTATGGATCCCTCCAACAAGCCCAAAGGCCCGTCTCCGCACTACTCGCTATATCAGCGAGAAATGTTCAAGCGAGGCGGCGGCCACGGAATTAGTATGTATCAAGATCCCATCTGTCTTTGCGACCTGGTTAATTCACCTATTGCGTTTAGTGCCCTCATTCTCTGTCCATCCGGACGAGCTTGCAGACTCAACGAAACGCAAGCTGAATGACCATGGATATTTCTATGCAAACTCAAATGCAGGAATGGGTTGGACTGACCGTGCTAACCGTGAAGCATTCTACCGATGGCGTATCATTCCTCGCATGCTTGTCGATACGAATACCCGTGATTTGACGAGTGAGAATTCTGCTGTTGCCGCCGTTTTCGTTTGAACTTACCAATGACTTGCAGCAACATTGTTCGGTCACAAGATACCTGCGCCAATTCTTTTCGCTCCGATAGGAATAAACAAACTGTACACTCCGAAGGGCGAACTTGTCCCTGCAAAAGTAGCAGGGGAATTGGGTTTGCCCGTAAGCCGTTTAAATAGTAGTCTGACCCTCTTCTATATATTTATTCTTGTTTTCAGTATTGCTTATCCACAGCCGCATCGAACTCTATCGAAGACGTCGCGGTCGCAAATGACGAGGGTGCAAGTGTGCCCAACGAGAGTAACTCCATTCACGCATACGACGGACCAAATGGTGGGAATCCTCGTGCAAAAGCACCCCGATTCTATCAGCTATATGCGGGCCATGATGACGAAGTGGTCAGTTCAATTGTTAAGCTTGGATCTCGTGTCAGGAATGATAATATCCGCACTAGACACTGAGTCTAATGGAGCGTGCTTGGAAGAGCGGCTTCGACGTCTTAATGTTTACCGTCGATACATGGCAGCTCGGCTGGCGTCCAACAGATATCAGTCTTGCAAATTACGTGTATGTGCTATCTCTTCGATTCAAATCTCCAAATTCGAGCGCTTATTGTCGGAAACAGTTTCTATTATCCGCCGGGTCAAATCGGGAATGAGAATGGTCGCTCAGACCCGGTTTTCATGCGCAAATACGGAGAACAAGAGCTTCAAAAGGATTCCGGTAGGTGGATAGACACGAGCGTCTGGCATGGTAAAGCGCACACATGGGAAAAGGTCGAATGGCTAATCAAGGAGGTGAAGTAATCTTCGATGTCACGCGTTAATCCCCAGTGACTTACTAGTATTTTGTATACTCAGTGGAAGCGCATATCTGGTGGTAGCCCTTTTGTCCTGAAAGGTATCCAAAACGTTGCGGATGCGCGCCGAGCTGTTGAACTCGGATGCGAAGGCATTGTTGTAACAAACCACGCGGGACGTCAAGTTGACGGTGCAGTTGGCTCACTTGAGGTCCTTCCAGAGATTGCAGAGGCAGTCGGTGACAGTCAGTATTTCCGTCGCGATTGACTTCAGACTTATTGGACTAACTGAAATGCAGAAACGACGATTATATTTGATTCTGGTATCCGCACGGGCTCCGATGTATTCAAAGCTATCGCGTTAGGTGCACATGTAGTTGAGGTTGGAAGGCTGTACGTATGGGGCATGTCGCATGATGGTGAACACGGATGCCGGCATGTCATGAAATCTCTTCTGGCAGTGTGTATATTTTTGTTTCACCAGTCTATCCGGTAGGAACGCAATGGGAGCTTTGCTGATGGATGTTCTCTTCCCATACTCTGATTGCAGGATTTGGACATTACAATGACTGTTAGCGGATATCGTTCGATTGAGAAGGATGTATATGGGAATAAGGAGGCATTGAGATACAATCCGTACGGCATTCCACCTCCGAGGGGCGAGCATGCAAAACTTTGAAACGGACTGGATTAGGATGTTCCTTAGGAGACGAATCGTGAACGGGATTCACAAAATGACGTTATGATACATTCGACCAAGTATTAAAGAATGGTGTACAAACTGTGCTATACGTAGAAAATCCGACATGAACGAAACACTAGGTCTTTACAAGACAAGAAAGGCACTGTTAAGTTGTTAGGTGTTGTCCATGCTGAGTTTTGTGAAGCGCGTCCATCTCCCTATCTTCCCCTTCGTCTGCCGTATCGTATTCACTATCGTCCTCTTCGTCTTCTCCATCTCTTATCATTCCTCTATCATAACTGTCGAAAAATCGCAACAGCCTAGGATGCGGTGTGTGCACCCCGCCGATCGGAGTCGGTGGAGGAGCAGGCGCTTTGGTCGTGATAGATTCAGTATCGCTATCACTATCCAATCCGGTATTGCTATCAGTACGGAGCAGTCTAAGTCTCCTGCGCCAACTGGAAAAGCTGAAGAGAGGGGGTATCCAAAGACTTTTCGTTTGACTAGTGGGGGATAGAGGGACAGGGATGCCTGAGGTATTCGTAGTAGTAGTGGAGGGTGGATCAATAGTAGGGTCGAGACAATCTTCGGACAGCCTCTGGTTGAACCGATTCCGTGCACTGCTGAATCGCTGGTGGGTCGTCAGAGAAGATGAGAGATGTATAAGTGAATCCCGTATGATCAATTTTTTGGCACACGAAGTAGCTTCAGCACGTACTCTTAACAACCCCCGGGGAGGTTTAATCTTCATTCCCGTATGCGATTTCCTCGTTATCCGATTCATAGGCTAGTCAGTCAGACTAAAATCCAATCCGGTTCAGTCGATACTAGCGTACTCGAACCCAGTACGCACAAACAAGGATGAAAGGAGAGAGTGTCTGAAGACGTAGATGCGGTTTACCGTCAGTGCAGCATGAGGGGAGAAGGGAGCATCGTCTTATGAGCATAACCGCAAAGCTCGATAAGACCCTGCTACATTAACCACGCGCAAAGGAAGTGATGGAGATATATAGTGCTTTGCTCAAAAGGTTGCCTATGGAGCGGGTACAGAACTAGACGAAGTCATCGCAGGCATCCAGAGCCTGCTTTTAAGTTCTGTTCTAGAAGCTCATGAGCCTTCGACTGGCGTCACAATAGCACCACCAACTGGATGCACTAGTACTGTGGTTATTCTCATGATGACGAAGACGCATATAATATGATATATTGCAGCACCTGTATGCCGTCTACAAATAACAAATTACCGAAAGTAGATGCATTACAAACCAAGTTGTCCGGCAAGTTCCGGCAGCTATACAGGACCACACCGTGCATGAATAATGCCCTCTCTCAGCGTCACCCACCTCGTCAAGCATACAACATGGGAAAAGGTGCGTCTCCATCGTCCTAAACCGCGATCGACGTCCTGCCCGCCCACCAGGGTCTATATACTGACGTGTTGCCCGTTGTATAGTTCACGGATCTCTCGCACGTGCAGGAAAAGTCAGGTCGCAAACTCCTAAAGTCGAACCGCAGGAGAAGAAGAAGACGCCGAAGGGCCGTGCAAAAAAGCGGATGTTGTACAACAGACGGTGCGTACTCGCTTCGAATTCACTTCGCGTCGATATTGGAACCCATTTGCTTTATATTTAGCTTCGTCAATGTAACTGCTTTACAACAGGGTGGCAAGCGAAAGATGTGAGTCCTACACTGAACAATTTCCCCGGTATCCTTTCCCTTTCGACCACTTCATTCTTTGCCTTCCCGCATTTCGGCATCGTCCACAAAATCGCTGGTCGTTGCAAGTTTCTTTACCAATCAAGATGAAACGTCGAAATCAAGCATAGTTCACACTGAAACTATTGTGTTGACAAACATGCATCTAATGTCTTTCGCTCCTATCTGACTCGACTTTGGCTTCTCTTTTCCTCCCTTATTATTGAAATCTGTTCGGCACCCTGATAACATTTTGACTGCAGGAACGCAAACCCTACATCATAATTATCGGATTGATTATCTAGTTGTGCTCCATACTCACGCACATCTCATTCTCGGACGCCTGCATACACAAGATTTAGTGGGAGACTGGGAGTAGCATATGTTGGAGATGGTGTTGTAGACGTTGTATTCCAGTTCTGCGCCACTGCAGCGCTGTCACTCTTACTCTATGTCATACTCCATGTCTCTTATGACTCATTAACCAAAATGCCACTGCATGTCGTATGACTGATTTGCTTTCGTCAACTGCCTAACTGTCTTGCAAGAATCATGTACATATGTGTTGTCCAACAACGTTGTTAAGGACTTGCTGACCAGACCAGACAAATGCGTTTACGAACACAAATGAAGATTTTCTCTGCAAACCGACAATACGACACTGGCTATACAGCATGTTATACATGTCTGGAACTCCCACTGCCAGCCAAGCAACATCACAGGCCATGGCAGGACACTCAAGTTGTTTGCCTTGTGCACTTACTGAGTGCCCAATACATTAGAGTCTGGACCAAACTCCACCTGAGACGTGCTTTTCTGGTCCACTAAGTCCTCTTGCCGCTATTGACTTTAGCCCTCGTCCATTGTGGCAACTTCCTAAAAAGTAGAGAAGTTAGAAAAAGATTTGAATAATGGCATAATGGCACGATAAATACGAAATTGACAGGGGAAGATAAAATCAGAATTGCAGAAGTAGGCTCATCAATCGGTCATTCACGACCGTATGACTGTTGAGCTTGAATGTGATTTGGAGTTCATCCGAGCAGGAGCATGCAAGATGCCGCATTGAAGAGAAAGCAAGGGTGTCAAACAACTCACATGCTGGTATGATATCGGAGAGTGAAGACACAGTTGCTTGAGGAAAAGGTCAGTGTTTGTCAGAGACCACCAGCGGCGACAAAAAAGGCTCAAACCGAAGAGGTAATATTACGTAATCCAATAGGTAGACTATGTCAAATTGTCAAATTGTTGAATTGATCATACATTCAAAGTCACTAACGACACTCCCTGATAATTGACATGAATCGGACATTGAGTATAACACTATGCCACCATTTTCACTGGCATGCGCTTCGTGCATGGTGTTGGGGGGGGGGGGGCATGTCCAGTGCACTTTTCAGACACGACGACTGTTTATGTGCAGCCAGCCAATTTTCATTCTGACCAGTGACATGAAATGTCAGCCTCGACCTTAGCTTGCAGGGCATAAGAAACACGTCTATGTTCTCCGCTTACTTCCATGCGCGGCGCATTGAAAGCGTCTGTCTCTGTGCCTCTGTGCACTTTCTGCGATTCCAACGCTGGTACCAACGGTTCCAGAAGTCCCTCTTCGTCGCAGAACCGGTCCACGTCTTGCAGCCATTGTTCATTTCCCGTTAATTTCGACGCAAGAAACGACAGTAGGCGGCTCAACTACGTCTCAACTCTTGAGGGATTAAAAGTGCGTCTTATTCGCTTTATTACAATTAATGGTAGTCTTAAGTCTTCTCCCTGTATAGCTTCCAGGGGTCGTTAGAGCAACTCTTAGTCTTGTCGGGATCCCTGTCTCCCGGATAGTTCTTCCTTCAACCCCCGAAACGCAACGAAAAAGACTGAACACTGGCCATAAGCAGACACCAGTCTCAGTCAGGCGTCTTCTCGCCCTTCTTGTCTGGTCCCTCGCTTGTATCTCCATCAACTTCGCATCGGGGATATTCGTCATACTCCGTGCAATGATCGCTTCCCGAATTCTTAACGTAGCTACTCGACTTGGCCTTGCTCCATCGTCACAGCAAAACAACCAGACACCTAAGGAAGACGTATCTTCGCCAACTGTGCTTCAAGACAGACTCGAAATAGCGAATCTCGCTATAAAGCAACTTAAAACCGAGAGCCGTCTTCTTCAGGAGAAACTGAAAGCTGCTGGAGAGAGGATCTTGAAGCTCGAGGCTAATCAGGCGGACTATGCGGCCTTCACCGCACTGCAAGCCAAGTATAACCGCGTGTCAGCCGAGATCGTACGCTTAACGAAAGAAAACGACGAGCTGAAGGCGAATGGCTCTCGCTTGGCGGATGAGAATGCTGAGTTACGCCAGTGCTTGGCAATGAATGAAGACGAACAAGGTAATGAAGTGAAACGTCTGAGTATGCTTGCTCGCTTGCAAAATCAGTGCCTCGAATCCTGTATCTTCCCAAAGGATGAAGAAAACGCCGATACCGTCGAAAAGGTGGAGAGAGACGAGACGTCGGAAGACTCCATTGTTATCGTCACTGGGATGGAGGCTCCGAACGACAAGACCACGGACGTTGCGGGATCATTTGCAAATGCTCCGCGCCAACCACCCAATGATGACATTAAACCTGCTACCGTTTCACCGACTACATCTGACGAACTGTCGTGGAGGACTAGAAAAACGGAGGCGAATCCAATTCCTGTGTTCATAACCAAGAGGCCGTCGCTGCCGCCAAAGGGCTCAAAGCCTCAACTCAAGCCACTTCTTCTCGGAACCCCACCAGCTTCTCGCCGCCACGGCACGAAACGTGGGATACGCAAACATAAGCCTGGCGCGATTCAGGATTATACAGAAGCTGGAAATATGGCCGATAAGAAGGAAGAATGCGCAAACACCGATGCTGCACTACGGAACCACTCTCTTAATCCTTGTGCACCAGTGTTCATGCCGCGTATAATTACTCTTTACTCCGGAATCGCCTCTGCTGCCTCTGAAAACGTACGCATGACTATTGACGAGACGAACGCCATGAAGTCCAGGGGAAAAGGAGCGCTTTCTCCAGCCGTCCCGTTCATCTGCACCTCTCCTTCCCCCAACTCTCCATTCATGCGCCCGCCTCCTGCCCGCCGTCAGTCAGGCGGAACGGCAAACCCGTCAGTCATCACTACACCGCCCACGCCGATCACCAGTTCCACCCCATCCTCGGCTACCTTACCCAACACAAGCACTCATCCTGCTATGAATGCCAACGCGACTCCCAATCCTAGTGTCAATTCAAACGCTAAAGCCATCATCAATGCCAGCGTGAACACAAACACGGTAAAAGGCACTCCTCGTAGCACACGCGCCTCTTCCGTCAAGCTCATTCGTGCACGCGCCGCCCTGCGCAACTCCCAACGGGTTGCATCCGGTTCCGCCGCTATACCCCCCTGTTCACCCGCTGGACTCAAGAGATTCGCGGGTGTTATTGGCGATAGGCGGAATGCCGCAAAGGCTGGCTTCGGTGCTTCTGGTGTCTTCGTTAGTTCTGAGGTTGGAGATGCTGAGAGTGTATCGACCAAGAGGAAAGTACAAGGTAAAGCCCGTTTAGCCGGAAAGGGTGTGCCACCGCGCCGTGCATTTGGCGAGAGGACGAACACGGAGCCTGGTTTGGAGGAGGCTATTGCGAGGTGGACTAGTATGTGAGATTAACGGAGATCATCTCAATGGTATCCTTTCCTCTTCAATAATTTCTTGGACTATGGCTGTATCAACGTCACTCACATCGATGTTTTCTCCTCTCGTGCCTCGTCATCCACGCTTGTATACATGTTAATAGCCGAGTTTGTATATACATATCCACATAAGATATAGCACGCACTGCCCAAGCTGAATATGTTTTGGTAATTCTCAGACTTTGTCCCGTTTCCCTGGAGCTCATGCCATGCACTCATCCACAGAAGTCCAGGAGAAAAGATTTTCTACACTCTCAAAATCCATACATTCACTAGAGTCGTATACAAATCATACCATACATTACGAGACGTCCATCAAGTTCGTCAACCTCATTTATGTACGAATATAGTCAGAACTGAAAAAAGGGGAAGGGCAGTTTGGAAATGGCAGAAAGGATAGAAGAAATGGGACAGAGAGAAACTTGTGCCGAGTGTCAGCTCAAAAGAAAGTATGGGGGGAAAAGGCAGGAGGAAATGGAGTGTACGGAGACGTAACTGCAAGTTGATGACACGTGCGTAGTCATCTCGAGCATTGATGCACTAAAATAAATGTGTTTAACGCACCCGGCGGCATTTAGTCAGATGTGCTGTATCTTTAGATATTGGATTTGATGTAACGTAGATTTAAGTGTTTCCAAGACGGCTTGAAATCGCAGGGGACAAGTCGGAGGTCCAACGACAAAGGCTTGCCGGCCCACTCAATCATCCACTTCCATCGCTTCCCCACCCTTCTTGAAATCAGGCTGGGTCACCTTAGCACTCTGTCTTCTCGCATAATCCGTCGCCCTCGCCCGTTTCTTCGCGCTCATTATCACGCCATTCGCTCCAGTCTCGCGGGCCTTCGGTCCTCCGAGACTCCTCCGTGCGGCAGCTCCCGTACTCGAACGCACTTTCGGTGTCGCGGGACCCTTTCCTCCAGCTACAATTGTTCCCTTACCAGTACCGACGTTGCTACTTGGTCCTGCGCGTGTCTTTGCTGGACTACGAGGATTAACTGGGCCACTCTGATCACGGTGTGCACCGAGCCGTGCAATCACCTTTGAGCGTGAGATGCGTGGCTTGCGAAGAGCATTCAGGGTGTTATTGATCTTTCTAGGCTCGTACTGCTCCTTCTCTCCGTCCTCTTCCTCTTCAGCATTCCTTCCCTTGTTCGCCCCGATCTTTACGTCCGCACCCTTCGTAACGGCAAGAGCAGCACCTGAGAGACTCTGTGTCTGGCCATTTGCACTGGAGAACGGTAAACGGTGCTTTGTAGTGGTAGCACCTGTAATGGGGTTGACATCCTGCCCCTTCTCGGCAGCCAAACGCGCTTGAGGGCTCGTTGGGAGGACGAGAGGAGAACGGAATATGCCTTTGTTAGCACCTCCACCCGAACCAGACGTAGTGTTAGATTTCTTCTGCGGTGGCGAGATCACAGGAATCTTAGATGGGGAAAGGACAGACGTGTGACCGCGTACACTCGGGACCTTTGAACGAATCAGACCACCACTTGCATTTGACGCCGCGGACTTGGTCGGCGATGCGTTAGCCTTCGCCAGCGAGCTCGCCGTTGGTGCTAGAAGCCTCGATGTACGTCCAGCAGCAGGTGTAGCCGTGAGACCTTTGCTTCCACTCGGAGTTCGCGCAAGCGGAGTGACCGTGGACTTACGCGACGACGCTCTGCCGATTGACGGACCAGAACCTTGAGCGTTCTGATTCTCTGTCTTTTCTGTTTGAGAAGACGCATCTGTTGATGTCTTCGCGTCCTCAGCAACAGTATCCAATCTAGAACCGGAGATGGAACGGGGCTGTGAAGTACTAGCTTTGGGATAAAGGTTTCCGGAGCCAACGCTGGAGCCACGAACGCTTGATACTCGGGTGACCGATGGCCTTGCACCAATAGCTATCACAGGAGTCGGCTTCGTTTCATCCTGTTCCTGATTTTTGCTTGCACTCGCAGCGGTAGGCTTTAAATAAGAGGGGATCGAAGTCTGGGCACTTGACTTTGAAGCTGCGGAGCTACCACTCCTATTCCAGACGGACTTGACGAATGACTTTGCTGATGCAAGGAAGCCCCTCTGTTTCTCTGTGAAAGATTGAAATGATCAAAGTAAACATGAACTTAGACATTCGGAAGGAATACACATACGAGCGGGCGCGCGGGATCCCATGCTGGGACGGCCACGAGTACTTCTTCTTCGAGCCTTATTTAGCTCTAGCTTTCGCTTAATAGCCTCGTTCTGCTTGCGTTTCTTTTCCTCGTCCACGTCTTCGACATCATCGCTGATATTCTTGCGTACTTTTGGAGCAATCGACACACGACGCGTCTCTCCATTCCCATCAGCTGCAGGCTCGGCAACACAAGCACGCTTTGCACCCCTCTGTTTCTCTTCCTCTTCTTCCTCCGCGTTGTAGTTCTCCTCAGCGATGACAGGGCTGACGTCTTCCGCATCCATGTCGTCCTCTTCGAATGCTCCTGGGATGACCACTCGATTTGCTTTCTTCTTGACTGCGTTCGTTTCCTGCTTCTTAGATGGTGCAGCAGCCGCACTTTTACGAGAGCCGAAAACGCTTTGCTTGCGCTTACGATTATCAGGAAGTGGTTCAAGTTTCTCCTCCTTCTCCTTACCCTTCTGCTCCTTTTCTTTCAGCACGCGCTTCGCAGCATAATGTGTATCGATCCCATCCATACGATTGAACATCTTTTCGTGTGCGCGATCGAACTTTGAAGTCACAGTCTCTTCGGCTACTCCATCCTTCCCCTCTTGCTTCTTGCCTGCTGCCCCGCCAAATTCATATTTCAACAGCTCGTCGACGGCAAGCTTCGTGCGTGGAGCATGCGAAAGGACATCCGTGCCGATCGCTCGTTCACCTGCGACTCCAAGACGAGCATTCATCTCTGCAAGCACGCTCGACGCAGCATGTGAGAAGTCTGTCGCGGCAGTTGAATGACGTGGGTTGGGTGAGCCAAAGATAAAGGCATCCCTAGGAGAGGTGGGTGAAATTGGTGAAACCGGTGGCAGGTCGGGAAGTGTTTTATCAATGTTCTTGGATGGTTCCTTTGATGGTGACGATAGAACGTCCAAATCCACATTCATGTCGTCAGAGTTGATGGTTGGGTATAGAGTACGATTTACTTCTGGGGTATTTGACACAGGCCACCGCTTCAAATCATTATTCCCAGGCGTCGGAGGGACAAGGTCGAACGCGGGTATCACGGGGGTCAGCTTAGGCGCATCGTCATTCTCTCCGGGTGGCTTGTTTGTGCTTGTGATTAAACGGATAGTTCCCAATCCGTCATTCACATTCACGCTTGAGCAGGGTCCTACCCCAGGAACTGGGCGATCAATCGAGGACATGGACACATCAGCATCAAGGGAAGTGTCTCCAACACCATCGTACGAGAATGCAAATGGTTCGACGTGGGGTCTACGCGAGATCGATGGCATAGGTATTTCATTGTAAGGTTTAGCATTTGTTATTAACGAATTTCGGGAGTCCGTTTTGGACTGCGATTCGTGTGAACTGCATCTGCTCCTGTTCAGCAAAGACGACAGTGCGCTGCGCGGTCCCGGAGAACTGGACAAGACACTCTTCGTTGTGTCTTTATCCTTCTTATGTGAGTGGGGTACGAGAGAGTCGCTGCTTTCCCCGCACGTTAAGTTGGAGTTAGAAGAGCCGGTACGTGTCAAGCCGATTGAGCTCGCGATTGATCGGAGTATCGCCGCTGCACGAGCCATTTGACATAAGCGAAGGAGTAAAGCAGTAAAAAAAGTCGCAACCTACATTTCGAGCTTCCGGCTGTGCCAAACTCGCCAGCTTGGCCACTAGTGGGGCCCTCCTTCGAATTGACGGAGCCACGGTCCTCTGCGAATACTGACCCATTTCTAGACACAATCTCCCACACCTGACTGTCTCTCTCTTTCTCGGGAGACTCGAGTTGCTCTTCTACATCATCCTCGTCGCTTATATCCGTAGCATCGAGGCTCTCTGAGCGGACTGCTACGCTTAATGGCGTGTTCGAGGGCAATGCGCGGGCATGCTCCTGAAGACGTGCGACAAGCTCTGTGTTCTTTCCCGAGGCCTTGATATTATGGCGCTTGCAAAGTTGCACGAGCTGTGCACGCTTGAGGGAGTGTAGCGCGGGCGAGTTGAAGAGGATGTCGGTTGTTGACATTGGGATGGGAGGCCTGAGTATGCGCCGCCAAGCCGGGTCGCTGGTGCCTTAGATAGTCTTTGTTTGAGTTGTCGTCGGGGATGTATAGCGGGAGCGCAGTGTTGCAGGACAAGGTGTGCAGCTGCTACAGAGGTTGATGGATGTTCGTCGCTCTGCTGCAGTGCGAGCAGCCACAACAACTCATCACGTGAGCGTGTTCTGCACGTGTTGCTTACGTACTTTTAGTTACGCGATGCACAACTGCCAGTGCACGCCTCTAACTTTCGACTACCATAACCTTCATATGGGCGACATCCACGAATGACAGAATGACAGTCTACTACTTCTAGTAACGTGGATACCACCTTTGTATTACCACAGCAATTTCACGCATGAGGATACACCCAACCAACGACGTAGAAACGTTGAAGACATCAAGCCCTACAGGCCACCATTTTCAAGAAGAATGCCAACAAGACCCGGAATACGCGTTATGTTGTCTTTCTGAGCGAAGTTCAACGAAACCAACGTGTAATACAAGCAAATGTTGTAATAGAATTCTGCCACCAGGCCATAGCTGTTCTTTTTTCCCATTTGTGCTGGGGCCGGTGTGCTCAATCTATGTCTGCATCAAGTATTCCAAGCCCCGCTGACGGAGCGAGCTGCCTGATATGGCTATTTGCAGGTTGACGACGACGATCGCTTCGCGCAAGTCAATGACCGCCATTTTTGGACAGCTCCTTCAGCCAAATCAGCTCCTCCACATCCTCGCCCCGTCTACTTATCCTCCTGAGTCCCAGCTTCACACAACACCCCACCTTTCACTCTCTTCTGCAAAAGTACTCTCTTCTCCTCACTATTGCTCAGTCGAGTGTCTCAATGGCCTCTTCTTCAAACACATCTGGCGCTGCGCGCCGCCTCTCTTCCACAACCGAAAATCACCCGAGCGTGCATACAAGGAAACGTGCATCCCGTCAAACTCTGACCGCGCAGTCCCTTGCAGACAGGCTTAAGCACCAGCAAGTCCGTGAGCGTCAACGCGCCCTTCAAAATGTGCGTGCCGCACAGAGCCAGGATTGGGACATGCTCGAGGAGACGTCGTCGCAGGCGATGACCGACCCGTGGGCTAGTGAAAACTCCATTCCAATGTTCAGTGGCATAACTCTTCCTCGTCAATTAATGCGCGCCCCCTTCCGGATGCCACGACCTGAAGCATTGGCAGCTATCGACCCCGGGCTTGTAGAAACTAACTTCGAATACATCAAGGACTGCATGGAACTGAGAGGCGAACAGTGCGTGTTCCCCTCATACCCTACTCCTCCCTTTCCCCTACCTCCTTCTAAGTAGTGCCTCGTTCAAAGCCTTCTCCTTCTCCGCTGAACGCCATCCCCCTTTCACTGGCTCACTTATCTCTCTACCTCATGTTTACTCACGATGTCACTTGTCGTTATGCTAACCATAACTTCCGGTTTAGGATGTACACCGTGCTAAAGAACACGACGATTCTCTCTCTTCACAAACCGCACGGGACGCACTATTTCCCCACATCTGCACGAGTACGCGTGAATCATGCCCATGCCGACTTACCTACGCACCTTCTCGCCGTCCGTTCGAGTCTTCCAAGCGGGAAGGACCTCGCCGACGATCCTTCCTCCTCTTCGCCCTCCACATTAAATGCACCTCGTCCTTCCGCATATTACACTCCCATTCACGCATTAATGCTGGCCGTCTATGCACCACTTCTCCCAGCTCTCCCACCATCAGATCCATCTCAGCAACTGAAAGACGGCTCGGATTCGGACTACGACAGTGATGCCAATGTCGTAGACGTAACGCTCCCAGTCGCAGTCCTCCGCATCCCCTCACCCGCCACATTCGGGATGCTCATCGCAGTCCTCTATTCCCAGCGATACGACAACCTCGTCAAGGTCCTCCTTGGCATACCACTTTCTCCTCCCCCTTCAACAGACCCGAAAACAATGCGAAAATGCTCACAATCGTCATTATTAACTCAGTCCATCTTCTCGCAACTTTTCTCGCCCCTCTCTGATCTTCCTCCCCCCGCGTTCTCGAATAACAACAATGTACAATGTTCTCCTGTTTCTCCTACTTCGTCTTCTTCCGCACGACACACCCGCCTAACTGCACGTCTAACACACATGTCCCGCCTCATAGCACTCGCATACCTCAACGCTCCTTCCACTACGGCTATGCTATCCGACTCAATTCTTTCCGGCACTGCAGACGTTGAAACAGGAGTTGAAGGTGTAGGAGTAGGAGACGCATCCCACGCCGCATCCGCTCTCCACCACCGCAGACGCCTCGTCCAAGCACTCGCAGCCAACGCACGAGTCTTAGGTGTATGTGATCTAGCATTCTGGGGAGCGATTGACGTAGCGTGGGCTGTGTTGCTCGGCGCGTTAGGCTTCGTTGCCGGGTCGGGGTCGTTGAGTTTGGGTACGCCTGCTCAGGAAGATATGGACGTGACCGATGCGTGATTCCTGTACCTGTACCAATGCTTCCGCTTTGCGTCGTTGTTCTCTCTTTCACTCTTTCCTTTCTGTCGGCATTTGGGACGCATGGGACTCCTTTACCTTTTAATCTTCAATCCATTTTTTAAAATTAATCATCCAAACCAATTCAACAGCCCTAACTAAAATGTTCATACCGTCAGCATACCTGGTCTTCATAATACCAAGCGAACTTACTTATTTCCATCCCTTTCTATGTATCTTCCTTTGAGGCTCAGGCCCTCATGTGTCAGACACTGATGTATAATTGTACATTTAACATGCAATCGTACTTGGGATAGTTAAGAGGAGATGTGAGGACGGGCTATGGGAAGCCTAGGTGTGATCATCGGTTCCACTCTTCCGCGCCTTGTTAATTTGGTCTTAGTTGTTTCCTGAAGATGCTGCGTTGCTAACCTCAACATCCATGGCCTTGCACCGTTATCATTGGTATCAGTTCACAATTATCGTTGGTAGATATCGAAAAGTTTATGCAAACAATCAACCAATCACTGGCAGACTAGACATCCTATGCCTTGCTTCGTATAGTGAGTGGCCTTAGCAATTCGCAAGTAATATAATGCCCCTCCTACGAATTTGACCTTCCATTTATTTTCTCATACCGTACCATAGCAATAGTCATAAAGATACATAAAATCATCCCTCTCAAAACGCAGGAGGGGAAAGTCAAAACCTTCAAGTTTAACGAAACAAAAAGAAGAAAAAGTAAAATATGAAGTAAACAGCTTTAGAGACAGCATCAAAGAAAAAAAGTAAGTAAGTAAAGATGTAACGTCCATGCGGGGGAGGGAAATTAGAACGGCGAGTCAACGTTGTTTTTCCGGAGGAGAATAAACTTGTTAACTTTTCATGGCGGGTTATGCATGCAAGGATACGTTTGCGGAATTGAGTAATGAAAATTATTTTCGGAGAATTGGTATGACTCCAGCGGGTTAGACGAATAAGTGGCAGGATAGAAGGACGAATCGATGTTGGAATTCAGAAAGCATAAAGATAGCGCCAAGGGTGAAGGCGAATGAAAGGGAGCAGAAACCGGTTAATGTCCAAACGGTGATGAGCTGACGATGCAATGATGGCGGCGAGGTAGTTAAACGGATGGGAGCAGTAGATGCAATTAAAATGCGAAAAGTAAAGGTAAATGCGTGGAGGACAACGGAATTCGGGAGATAATATTTGACTCAATCAACTAGGTCACATCTATCCCCCACTTCTTCATCTTCGCAAAGTACTTTTGTACACGCGACGCAACCTGTCTGGCTGTTCGCGTACCACCCATCGCCCTCGAGATATTCGCCCATCTATTATGAATCAGATATTAAATTGAAATGAAGGAAGAAAAACTTCAGTATTCCTCACCACTCTGTTTACAGAAACGATGCTCTCACCGATTCTTGGTGCCGTCCGGAAACTGCTCTAGCAACATATCGAGCAGTCTCTGCTCCTCATCGCTCCAAGTCACGTTGAACGTCTTCGATGAAGGATTCCCGCGTCTAGAGAAGCCACGACTCTCAGTTGCTTTGGAATTCCCATTCCCATTCATATTACCATTGCCATTGGTTACTCTACGACTTGCGGATGAACTGGACGCCGAGGAAGTCGGGAGCGGAGGAAGACGCTCGCATACGAAAGAGTCATTGCTATCACTATGCCCATCATGGTTGTCCTCTTCGTTCTCCTGAGATTCTTCGTACTTGGCCAGTTTAGCAGAATTGTACGAATCAGGAACCGAGCTCTGTCTGTATCGGTACATATGCTTGTCGATAGTATCCCATTCGGCTTCGTTGTCAACGTCCATTCCGTTACTTTGATCGTCTTCCTCCTGTTTTACATTGAAGGAACAGAGCTGGGACGTAGACCGAGTCGTGGTAGCGGGACTGGACGCGCGTGATTCATCCTCGCCTCCAGGGATATTATGTTGTCCTGGCTGCCCGAACGCATATAACTTGCCTCCTAAGTAGGCATCGTCAATTTCAGCAGGTACAGTCACATTGGTGCTCGTGCTGTTGGCCGTGACAAGTGATCCCGTAGCAGACCTGGGAGTTGACGCAGAGGGTTGTCGGTCTTGATAAACTCCGTCATTACGGGCATTGCTTTTAGCCGGACGCCTGGCGGGGATACGAATGGTAAGACGCGTGCGTGGCTCACCACTCGTAATAATAGGTGATGAGGAGGGTAATCGAAGAGTAATAGGCGTCTTCCCATTCCTATTCCCGTTCCCAATCGCGGAACCGGTACTCCCACTTTGAGAGGTCCCGACACTCGACACACTCGGTGCAGCAGAGCCATACCGCGTTGACGGTCGCCGGACACGCTGAGGACGTACTTCAGAGGCGGACTGCTGCTGAGCATTTGAGGCTGAGTCATGAATGGGCGATTCGGAGGTCGAGGCTATTAGAGCCGAAGCAAGATTAGAAGCATCCATGGAAGTCGAAGCACCGTCGGTCTGGGGCCGTGGCGCCGGCACCTCGGTTGGGACCTGCTCCTTTTTCTTGAACCGTCCTCCCTGCCCACGCGGGCGTAACGCGGCTGCTGCGGCGGATGCTTCGCTCTTTCTCCGGCTCGCCGACTTCTTATTGACATGTCCATTCGTCGATGAGCTTCCCTCGGGCCTGCTGCCTGCTGCTGGTTTGCCCCTCCGTGCATCCTTGGTCTTTGCTGCTGGGTCTGGGTTGGCGTCCTCGTCATCAGAATCAGGAAAAGAAGCCAGGTATTGAGCTGCGTTCTTCAGGGTGGGTTCAACAATTTCTTTGGCCTTTTCCCGCAGATACTCGTGAAATGGACTCAGTTGCCCGCTAAATTTATGTTCACGATCCAGCCCTACGAATGAGGCTAAAGTGGGTCTTGGTGGGGTCAGACTTGGCGTGCTTGGCGTTGGCGGTGGAGGCATGTGCGAGTGCGAATGCGTGCCTGGCGGTACCAAGGAAGTTCGTGATGACCACGGCTGAAGTGATTGCAACGGGGCGGTATCTACAGCGCATTTATAGTCATAAATTACACAAAGGCAAGAACGTATACACACCATGACCTTTGAACACGTCCCATTCAATATCCTTTGTTATCGTTGCACCACCATCCCCATTTACATCCGTCACCAGTTCGGACAATGGCCTCAAGCCGAGGTGACCCCCGCTAACCCCATCTTTACTTTCCCCGTGTTTCCCGCAATTATTGGAATTATGATCATGTAAAATATGAGTGAGGGTGCTGCTGGGGTCGACAGCGGCGTCTGCCCTGGCAGCTTGAAGACGGTCGACGTCCTGTTTGATGCGGTCAAGAAGCGCGCGCTGGCGCTGAATATACGCTGTAAGAATTTCTAGGCTGCAAAGGAGAAGAAAAAAGGTGTCATTGATAAGTGGAACTGCTATAATTGCTGGTGAATGAAGGGGACGGACTTTCGATTACGACTAGCTGAATGATTTTGAGGATGAGAGGCACGACCGGCATCCTGGATAGAGATTGTGTCGGGCGTGTTGGCTACATTTTCCATTTGCTGCGTTGATCAGAGTGGGTGTCTTGACTGGATAGTTGACATTGTCGACGAGCAGGGCGACGGGGGGGAGGGGGTGAATAGGGCGAGAGATGCAGTGATTGGGGCTGTCGTGAGGACGAGCGATCTGAAGTGGCGAGAGTGGGAAGAGTGGGCGAATTCGGGAGAGATCGGCTCTGGGGCGAGGAGAGGACACTGACGCAGAGAGAGAGAAATTAGAAGAATCAGAGAGGTAAATGGCTGAGGGGAGCATCACATGACCCCAATCTCAGATACCAGGCACATCGGGCATTTCACAATTTCTTGCTGTGAAAAATAACTTACAAAATGTTAAACATTATGTGTAATTTAATTTATCATTTCAGTTTAGTAGAAATTCAAAATAATTTTTTAATTTTTTCTGTATTTGTATTGATTATGGAAGAAACTTGAAATTTTGTTCATGATTTCTATCTATCAATCAAAAATGGTAAATTTAATTACAAATAATGTTTAACATTATGTAAGTTATTTTTCACAGCAAGAAATTGT